TTGGCATTGTTTTGGGTTCAACACTTAGCATGGATTCGTTAAATGAGGACTTCCCCCGTCTTCTCCACTTGAAGTGTTTGTTGAGTATCCCACACAAAAAAAGAAGACTAAATATTTGACCCGTACGCCACACATAACAAACCAAAAAGCAACAACAACAACAAATGAAAAAGTCAAATACCACAAACACACATACACACCCTCCCTTTTACCACATTCCGACTTTTGACTTGATGACCATTCCATTCAGACCAACTGGACCATAGGACAATTTGAGTGGACGGAAACTGAAAAGATTTTCCCAAGGATTATCTGCAAAAATCCCTAAAACTTTGCTGAAACACTTACTTCAACACAAATTAAATAATTCTTCAAACTATTCCAAGAAGTCTGTTGGCAAGCTTGGAATAGCTTTTGTAAATTCTTGGTGTTGTTGTGCTTTCTTTATGGCTTGACTTTTTGTTTGGTTGGTATGTAAACCTCAGTCAAATGGAGAGATTGAAATTAAAGGACTCTAAGAATGTTGTCAAGAGGCATTTAGGAAGATTGGGAGTGTTAAGTGGACAGTGGCCAGATAACTGGTTTTCTTTGCAGTTGGAAAACTGATGGGGGGAGGGGAAAGGAGCGGAGGCAGTTGTGGGTACAGGATTGATATTTGAGAGGAAGGAAAATACCAACTTTATGAGATCAAACTTGTCACATATATTATTCAGGACCATTATCCAGGTCCATGCATATCCTCGAAAAAATATTTTTAAAAAATCCAAATCCTTAAAACAATATTTTTTTAAAATCCCGATCCTTAAAAAATATTTTTTAAAAATCCAGATCCTTGAAAAATATTTTAAAAAAATCCAGATCCTTAAAAAAATATTTTTAAAAAATCCAGATCCTTAAAAAAATATTTCTAAAAAATCCAGATCCTTAAAAAATATTTTTAAAAAATCCAGATCCTTAAAAAATATTTTAAAAAATCCAGATCCTTAAAATAATATTTTAAAAAAATCCAGGTCCTTAAAAAAAATTTTTAAAAAATCCAAATCCTTAAAAAATATTTTCAAAAAATCCACATCGTTAAATTTTTTTTTAAATATAGATCCTTAAAAAATATTTTTAAAAAATCCAGATCCTTAAGAAATATTTTTAAAAAATCCAGATCCTTAAAAAAATATTTTTAAAAAATCCAGATCCTTAAAAATTTTTATAAAAAATCCAGATCCTTAAAAAATATTTTTAAAAAATCCAGATCCTTAAAATAATATTTTTAAAAAATCCAGATCCTTAAAAAATATTTTTAAAAATCCAGATCCTTAAAAAATATTTTTTTAAAAATTCACGTTTATTTAGATCCTTAAAAAATATTTTTTTAAAAATTCACGTTTATTTAGATCCTTAAAAAATATTTTTTTAAAAATTCACGTTTATTTAGATCCTTAAAAAATATTTTTTTAAAAATTCACGTTTATTTAGATCCTTAAAAAATATTTTTTTTAAAAATCCACGTTTATTTAGATCCTTAAAAAAATATTTTTTTAAAAATCCACGTTTATTTAGACCCTTAAAAAATATTTTTTTTTAAAATCCACATTTATTTAGATCCTTGAAAATAATTTTTTAAAAATCCACGTTCATTTAGATCATTAAAAATATTTTTTTAAAAATCCACGTTCATTTAGATCCTTGAAAAATATTTTTTAAAAAAGCCAAGTTTTGTTTAGATCCTTAAAAAAATATTTTTTAAAAAATCCAAGTTTTGTTTAGATCCTTAAAAAAATATTTTTTTAAAAAGCCAAGTTTTGTTTAGATCCTTAAAAAAATATTTTTTAAAAAATCCAAGTTTTGTTTAGATCCTTAAAAAGATATTTTTTTAAAAAAATCAAGTTTTGTTTAGACCCTTAAAAAAATATTTTTTTAAATCCACGTTTATTTAGATCATTAAAAAATATTTGTTTTTAAATCCATGTTTATTTGGAACCTTAAAAATATTTTTTTTTAAAAATCCACGTTTATTTAGATCCTTAAAAAATATATTTTTTAAAAATCCATGTTTATTTAGATCCTTAAAAAATATATTTGTTTTTAAATCCACGTTTATTTATAACCTTGAAAAAATATATATTTTTTTTAATACACGTTTATTTATATCCTTGAAAAAATATTCTTTAAAAATCCACATTTATTTAGATCCAAAAAAATATTTTTTAAAAAATCCACTTTTATTTAGACCCTTAAAAAAATATTTTTTTTTTCAAAAATCCACGTTTATTTAGATCCTTAAAAAATTTTTTTTAAAAATCCTCGTTTATTTATATCATAGAAACTTAATAAGGTTTTCACGAATTTCAGTCTCATATATTTAAATAACTTACATTTTTCCATAATTTTGCAAACAAATAAATGAAATATAATGGCCTTTTCCTCTCTGTTCCTTTTATTTTCAATTTCATCAAAAGAAGACTTTCATTTGAAAATGAATTTTTGACATGCGATGCATAAATAACATGTCTGAACATGCAAATTAAATAGAAACAAAAAATCCAACAACATCAACAACTACAAATTCATTCATAACTATAGCCTCCTGACAAGTCACAACATCGTCATAGTGTTGGCCCCGTTGGGATGTGGGACACAGCTAGGCTATGGGCCACAACAGCGCGAGAGAGAGAGAACAGCATCAGAAAAAACTACTGACAAACTTTTAATGAAATTTTACGTGATTTGTTTAAATAATTGTGACATTTTCAACACTCTCGGTTCGTTGGCTTTCAGCTTTGACAAAAAATATGAGACAAAAATTCTCAGTTATCCAGACTCGGTCTGCTCTGTAAACCATTGCTAACTGGCGATGCTCCCATTGCAGTTGCATCCCATTTATGCCGTCACACACATCCACAGTTCGTCTGCTCATCATCTTTATCATCGGTTAAGTTTATTTTAACACAATTCATCAACACATAATCCTCGCTTATGGTTCTGCAGGACAAAAGGACAACCAAAGGATGCACATATTCATATATTTAAGCTACAGCTGTCATAACAGAGAGACAATCACATATCCTGAAAAACAACAACTACATATGGAATAAAAACTATTTCAACAACGGATTTTAAAGGATATTTTTTCCAGGACTATCAAATGTGGATTTTAAAGGATATTTTTGAAAGGACCTAGAGATCATTAAACGTGGATTTTTAAAGAATATTTTTTCAAGGACCATTAAACGTGGATTTTTAAAGAATATTTTTTCAAGGACCAATAAACGTGGATTTTTAAAGAATATTTTTTCAACGACCAATAAACGTGGATTTTTAAAGAATATTTTTTCAAGGACCAATAAACGTGGATTTTTAAAGAATATTTTTTCAACGACCAATAAACGTGGATTTTTAAAGAATATTTTTTCAAGGACCAATAAACGTGGATTTTTAAAGAATATTTTTTCAACGACCAATAAACGTGGATTTTTAAAGAATATTTTTTCAAGGACCAATAAACGTGGATTTTTAAAGAATATTTTTTCAACGACCAATAAACGTGGATTTTTAAAGAATATTTTTTCAAAGACCAACAGACCAATAAACGTGGATTTTTAAAGAATATTTTTTCAAGGACCAATAAACGTGAATTTTTAAAGAATATTTTTTCAACGACCAACAGACCAATAAACGTGGATTTTTAAAAAATATTTTTTTCAAGGACCTCAAGGCCAATAAACGTGGATTTTTAAAGAATATTTTTTCAAGGACCTCAAGACCAATAAACGTGGATTTTTAAAGAATATTTTTTCAAGGACCTCAAGACCAATAAACGTGGATTTTTAAAGAATATTTTTTCAAGGACCTCAAGACCAATAAACGTGGATTTTTAAAGAATATTTTTTCAAGGACCTCAAGACCAATAAACGTGGATTTTTAAAGAATATTTTTTCAAGGACCAATAAACGTGAATTTTTAAAGAATATTTTTTCAAGGACCTCAAGACCAATAAACGTGGATTTTTAAAGAATATTTTTTCAAGGACCTCAAGGCCAATAAACGTGGATTTTTAAAGAATATTTTTTCAAGGACCTCAAGACGAATAAACGTGGATTTTTAAAGAATATTTTTTCAAGGTCCTCAAGGCCAATAAACGTGAATTTTTAAAGAATATTTTTTCAAGGACCTCAAGGCCAATAAACGTGGATTTTTAAAAAATATTTTTCAAGGACCTCAAGGCCAATAAACGTGGATTTTTTAAGGATATTTTTTCAAGGACCTCAAGACCAATAAACGTGGATTTTTAAAGAATATTTTTTTCAAGGACCTCAAGACCAATAAACGTGGATTTTTAAAGAATATGTTTTCAAAGACCTCAAGGCCAATAAACGTGGTTTTTTAAAGAATATTTTTTCAAGTACCTCAAGGCAAATAAACCTGGATTTTTAAAGAATTTTTTTTCAAGGACCTCAAGACCAATAAACGTGGATTTTTAAATAATATTTTTTCAAGTACCTCAAGGCCAATAAACCTGGATTTTTAAAGAATTTTTTTCAAGGACCTCAAGACCAATAAACGTGGATTTTTAAAGAATATGTTTTCAAGGACCTCAAGGCCAATAAACCTGGATTTTTAAACAATATTTTTTCAAGGACGTACAGACCAATAAACCTGGATCTTTAAACAATATTTTTTCAAGGACCTACAGACCTGGAATTTTAAAGAATTTTTTTCAATGACCTACAGACCAATAAACGTGTATTTTTAAACAATATTTTTTCAAGGGCCAAAAGGCCAATAAATATTTAAAGAATTTTTTTCCAAGGACCAAAAAGTTATTTTAAACGTCTTTCTGAGTAATTTAAATTCTTGTTAGCCTTTTACTTTGAACATTTTTTTTTTGCCATGCATTTCCATTTCTATCAGACCATTACTATCAGACATGTCTTATCTTCCATTGTCCATCACTTTTTATCTCTTCACTCAAATCTTGTCACCATCACATTTGCATTTCAACTCACCTGCAACTTGGACCACTGAATGCGACCAATACAGCGCGACGAGTTACGCCAGGCCAACTTTGCACCATAAATCAATTCGGTTTCGGTCAATTGATAGTGGCCACTGGTTTCGATGCTCTGACGCACTTGCTTCCAACGTGTCTCGTGGGCAGCACTGGATAATCTATTAAACAAAATGCAAAGAGTCGTGGAAAACAATTAAAAATCAATTGCAAAACGTGAGTAAGGAGACCAATTCGGTGGCGCTCACCTTTTAATGGAGGTAAAATATTGATCCAGAAAATCCTTGGCATGGTCCAGGACAACATCGGCTTTACGCGCCTCAACCGCTGCAGTGCCAAAGTTCATGACACTCGACATGCAGGTCGCCTTCGAACAGGCCAGAATCTGAAAAGTGAATCACAGAGAGGAGAACATAATTATAAGAGGGCAAAAAATAAATGAAGAGAATGGAGATAAACTAATTGAAAGCTTTTTTTCAGTCCTTTAAGCTGGGTTAAAAAAACCATTTCAAGGACCTTCAAGGCTGTAGACGTGGATTTCAAAGAAGCCTTTTCAAGGACCTTCAGGGCTATAAACGTGGATTAAAAAAAACTTTTTTTTAAAGGAAACTTTTTAAGGATCTACAGACCAACAAACGTGGATTTTTTTAAAGAAACTTTTCAAGGATCTACAGACCAACACACGTGGATTTTTTTAAAGAAACTTTTCAAGGATCTACAGACCAACAAACGTAGATTTTTTTAAAGAAACTTTTCAAGGACCTACAGACAAACAAACGTGGATTTAAAAAAAAAATTTCAAGGACCTACAGACCAACAAACGTGGATTTCTTTAAAGAAACTTTTCAAGGACCAACAGACCAACAAACGTGGATTTTTTAAAGAAAATTTTCAAGGACCTACAGACCAACAAACGTGGATTTTTTTAAAGAAACTTTTCAAGGACCAACAGACAAACAAACGTGGATTTAAAAAAAAATCAAGGACCAACAAACGTGGATTTCTTTAAAGAAACTTTTTTAAGGACCTACAGACCAACAAACGTGGATTTTTTAAAGAAACTTTTTTAAGGACCTACAGACCAACAAACGTGGATTTTTTAAAGAAACTTTTTTAAGGACCTACAGACCAACAAACGTGGATTTTTAAAGAAGCTTTTTCAAGGACCTTCTGTCCTATAAACGTGGATTTTTTTAAAGAACTTTTTCAAGGACTTACAGACCAACAAACGTGGATTTTTTAAAGAAACTTTTTCAAGGACATTCTGTCCTATAAACGTGGATTTTTTAAAGAAACTTTTCAAGGACCTACAGGTCAACAAACGTGGATTTTTTAAAGAAACTTTTCAAGGATCTACAGACCAACAAACGTGGATTTTTTTAAAGAAACTTTTCAAGGATCTACAGACCAACAAACGTGGATTTTTTTAAAGAAACTTTTCAAGGATCTACAGACCAACAAACGTAGATTTTTTTAAAGAAACTTTTCAAGGACCTACAGACAAACAAACGTGGATTTAAAAAAAAAATTTCAAGGACCTACAGACCAACAAACGTGGATTTCTTTAAAGAAACTTTTCAAGGACCAACAGACCAACAAACGTGGATTTTTTAAAGAAAATTTTCAAGGACCTACAGACCAACAAACGTGGATTTTTTTAAAGAAACTTTTCAAGGACCAACAGACAAACAAACGTGGATTTAAAAAAAAATCAAGGACCAACAAACGTGGATTTCTTTAAAGAAACTTTTTTAAGGACCTACAGACCAACAAACGTGGATTTTTTAAAGAAACTTTTTTAAGGACCTACAGACCAACAAACGTGGATTTTTTAAAGAAACTTTTTTAAGGACCTACAGACCAACAAACGTGGATTTTTTAAAGAAGCTTTTTCAAGGACCTTCTGTCCTATAAACGTGGATTTTTTTAAAGAACTTTTTCAAGGACCTACAGACCAACAAACGTGGATTTTTTAAAGAAACTTTTTCAAGGACATTCTGTCCTATAAACGTGGATTTTTAAAGAAACTTTTCAAGGACCTACAGGTCAACAAACGTGGATTTTTTAAAGAAACTTTTCAAGGATCTACAGACCAACAAACGTGGATTTTTTTAAAGAAACTTTTCAAGGATCTACAGACCAACAAACGTGGATTTTTTAAAGAAACTTTTCAAGGATCTACAGACCAACAAACGTGGATTTTTTTAAAGAAACTTTTCAAGGATCTACAGACCAACAAACGTGGATTTTTTTAAAGAAACTTTCAAGGATCTACAGACCAACAAACGTGGATTTTTTTAAAAGAAACTTTTCAAGGATCTACAGACCAACAAACGTGGATTTTTTTAAAAGAAACTTTTCAAGGATCTACAGACCAACAAACGTTGATTTTTTTAAAAGAAACTTTTCAAGGATCTACAGACCAACAAACGTGGATTTTTTTAAAAGAAACTTTTTAAGAACCTACAGGTCAACAAACGTGGATTTTTAAAGAATTTTTTTCAAGAAACTTTTGTCCTATAAACGTAGTTTTTTAAAGAAACTTTTCAAGGACCTACAGACCAACAAACGTGGATTTTTTTAAAGAAACTTTTCAAGGACCTACAGACCAACAAACGTGGATTTTTTTAAAGAAACTTTTCAAGGATCTACAGACCAACACACGTGGATTTTTTTAAAGAAACTTTTCAAGGATCTACAGACCAACAAACGTGGATTTTTTTAAAGAAACTTTTCAAGGATCTACAGACCAACAAACGTGGATTTTTTTAAAGAAGGCCTTCAGCTCTTCTACGGAGAAGACCTTCAGCTCTTCTACGGAGAAGACCTTCAGCTCTTCTACGGAGAAGACCTCCAGCTCTTCTACGGAGAAGACCTCCAGCTCTTCTACGGAGAAGACCTCCAGCTCTTCTACGGAGAAGACCTTCGATGGAGAAGACCTCCGGCTCTTCGATGGAGAAGACCTCCAGCTCTTCGATGGAGAAGACCTCCAGCTCTTCGATGGAGAAGACCTTCAGCTTCGATGGAGAAGACCTTCTGGTCTTCTATGGAAAAGACCTTCTGGTCTTCTATGGAGAAGACCTTCTGGTCTTCTATGGAGAAGACCTTAAGGTCTTCTATGAAGAAGACCTTCTGGTCTTCTATGGAGAAGTCCTTCTGGCCTTCTATGGAGAAGACCTTCTGCTCCTTTATGGAGAAGTCCTTCTGGTCTTCTATGGAGAAGTCCTTCTGGTCTTCTATGGAGAAGTCCTTCTGGTCTTCTATGGAGAAGACCTTCTGGTCCTTTATGGAGAAGACCTTCTGGTCTTCTATGGAGAAGACCTTCTGGTCTTCTTTGGAGAAGACCTTCTGGTCTTCTTTGGAGAAGACCTTCTGGTCTTCTATGGAGAAGACCTTCTGGTCTTCTATGGAGAAGACCTTCTGGTCTTCTATGGAGAAGACCTTCTGGTCTTCTATGGAGAAGACCTTCTGGTCTTCTATGGAGAATACCTTCTGGTCTTCTCTTTACGTATGAGCAATGCCATAACATTCGTACGCCTTGAATTATTATGCCTTTCCACCTCCTTGATTTCTGTTTCTTATTCCATTTTCAATTACTTTATTTTATTATTTCAACCTGTGCTTAAGCTGCTCATAAATGAAAAATCTCCAACATAATTTAATGCTGGAAATGAAGTAGTCATAAGGACTACACAGGATGTAGAAGAAAGCAGAGAATTGTGTGTATGGAGAAACAGTTAAGTAGGATTTCATAAATTTCACATTTTTTTCACAATATGCATTTCATAATTAGACCTCTGCCCCCTCGTCCCACCACCCCTCCATAGGCAGAGATTTAGAAAAGTTTATCCTGCAAAGTTGTTTCAAATAGGCACAGGCTGAATGTAACATTTGCCGGATGGAGTAGAACAAAAAATATGGCAAGTCGAAAGGAAGGAAGGAAGGCTCAGCAACATATTTTATTTAGGCATTATTTGGAGCATAAGAAAAATTATGTCAAAAGATTGCAAGTAGATAGCGCTATAGAAAGTCGGTTCGGCATGTTGGCAGAAGGCAAAGATTTGAGTCAGAAAATTTGCTGCTGAAAGTAAATGTCGCTGGAAATTTTAGATGTCCTTTGACTGGGAACTCGTTCAAAGCCATGGTTATCTGGGTGAATGTTAAAAACATCATCGATCTGTAGCTCACCTGGCCGCCATCTTACCCTTCATTCATTTCTTAAAGACCCACCCATTCCCTTTTTCTTTTTAAATTACATTCCGAAATATTCCTCCCACCTTGAAATGCTACAAATAAAAATGTAAACGAGTCATTCAGCCAGCCAGTCAGTCAGTCAGTTTATTACAAAAATTTACTGTTGCACATTCTCAGCCTCCGAGTGGCAAAATGGATGCCATGAGCGAACACGTAAATATTTGCCATCAAAATGGAAAATGAAAATTAACCTGCGAAGAAGAAGTAGAAGGGTTATAAACAACAGAGCAATAACAGCAGCAACAACAACAAGACTATATAAATTCTTGGCATAGTCGTGCCACGGAAAATATGTGGAGGGTGTGAGAAAGAAAAATGCTTGATTTTTCATTTCATCTGTGGAAACGAAAGAAAATGTAGCAGTCGTCGAAGGGTTATTAAGTGATGAAAGCAAAAGTTCATAAAGTCAAAGATATGTAGAAATGTCAATTAGATGTTGCGGATAAGTATGGGGTATTCCAGAGGTATAGAAAGGGATCACATGGGACCATCTGGGGGAATGTAGAAGAGAGTAAAACATTCAGAGGTCGGTACAGATGGAATAGAGAATCTACCAATCTAAGAAAAGACTAAAGGGCTTTTCAGAGATTATAAACCCTTGAAATAACTAATTCTACACAATCTTCGGGTTAGATTTCCCATTAAGTATAACATTTAACCTTGTCTTAGATTTAAATCAATACGAGCTCAGGAGGTTCTACTTCAATGAATATGGTTTTAAGGTCCATTACTGCATATTCACAGGTTATTGCCATAAAGTAGACCCAGAAGCCGCAAGAGAAGTTGAGCTCTTCCAGAGGTCATTGCCGTATAGAAGCTTCTTTTGGAAGTCTTTAATGTATGATAGAAGACTTTTAAACCCAGCTTAAAACTTCTTGTCTTTAATCAAACATTTGGCTTTTTCCTTTCATGTTCAGAAGTTCTAGTAGTCTTGGGGAAGACCTTCTCTGAATATACCATTGGTACTTTTATGGGGTCTAATCTATGAGCACAGCAGCAAATACTGTGTTGGTTTTCCTCAGTTAAAAAAAAAAACAACAATTGTGCTCTAAAAGAGAGAATTCTCATAAACTTACAGAGGACTTTTATCAGCAGGCCTCCCGAAATGCAATCTCGCGATATGCAATATTG